CAACCTCACAGAACATCAATATCAAACAGGTCCCTCTAGACCACAGCAAAGTAAAACAAAAGTGAAATCACTGTGAAACCCACAAAATACCAAACCTCCCCTCTCACTAAAAGGAGGAACTGCCTCTAGGTTAGCAATTACAGTTTTACCTTTGCTCTGGTTTGCCCTCTCTACAGAGAAACCTTTGAGACGCTCAGTCATAGAATTGTCCCCACTTCCTGATAGCATCCAATCTAGAGGGAAGCCTTACTTCTTTAGACTCTCCCTCAATTACCTGACCAAAGCTCAAATCGTGTAGTAGATTCTTTCTAACATTCTGTTAGTGAGGACATTATGTGTTCTCCCCGGTGGGAACGAGTAATAAATCCAACCTGTTCAACCGCATGGATGTGTTTTTGGTGGATTTTGGCTGGAGAATACTGACTCCATTCTTATCTCTTGATGACTGGTTGAATCCTATCTTTTATCACAACACTCTGTGGCTTTCCAGGTTCTAGGGTTCTTCCTCTCTGATTTCTTTCTTACTGCCAGAGATTGCCTCATGAACTGTCTGCTGTCCATCCCTGCTCCAACCAGTGTCTTCCAGCAACATTGACCATACGTGCTCATTTCCAGGCCTTCGTTTCCGCCCTGGGAATTTAAATGGCCCCATCCATTCATTATCTCTTCTCTGATACTTTCCCGCTTGTTCTCTGGCAGGATCAATCCCCAGCCACTCCCTTCTGGCTCCCAAAGCACAGCACAGGGCTCTGAGGAGGAAGAGGAGAAGAAGGTTAGACATATGAATACATTTAGAGGTACGTACAAAGTGATCACTCCATTCCTATTCAATATTTGCATCTGAAACTATGAGACGAAAAGGTAACCACGTGATATGATGAATATTATGTTAATCAACATTATATAGTAATCTATTCACAATGTCTTTGTAATCAAATCATCATGTTTTATACCTCGACTTTACACAATCTTCTATGTCAATTATATTTCATTCAAGTTGGGGGAAAAAATGTTAATCATGTCTAAAAATACCTTCACGACAACATCAAAACTGATGTTGGACCATGGGCTCCATAGCGCAGCCAAGTTGACACATAAAATGATTCATCACAGTTCTCCTCCCCACATTTATTCATTACAGGGTGAAATTTTTAGCTGCACCTTTTTTCCCCTGAGATCACTGGGAAATAGATAAAACGTGCGGAAGATCCCTCTTGCTTTAGGGAACTAAGTGATGCCTCTGTTTCTGATTAGTGTGGAAGACCATGAATGGGATTAATGAACATGTTTATCTTCTGGGTGAAGAGATTTGGGCTGAGTGGAGGCCACCAAGGTTGAGGTTGGTTTATTGGCAGGAATTTCTTATTAGCATTCATCACTATTTCAAGGCTTTCAGTGAGCAGTACCTCACTGTCTAAATTAATTGGGAACCCATGGATGACTGTGACAAATCTGTTTCTTCTCCGCCTTTCAGGGCTTTCCAAAGCTGTCTGCAGGGCTTTGAGCCAATTACTAAACTTGCTGTATCTCAGGTTTTTTAGCCCCCACACCCACCCTGAAGCTTCCCAAACCCAGCATGAACCTAAGATACTGACCCAAAATTTCTCCTCACAATTTTTCAGCTCTCTGCTTCTTACAACCTGGTTTCCACCCTCTTCTTGGCAATTATCACACTAACTTCCACCAAGGTATCTTGGCTGATGAGGGTTTCTACAACTTTATTTCTCCGTCTGTCATACACACCTTTCAAATACAACCTGTACTATCTTTAATATACACAAAGCTTTTATAAATCAATAGTGAACTAATGAACCTTTTGTATAATATGGCTAAATGATGCAGACATGGAATTCACAAAAGAGGTACAAATGGCCTATAAACATAAGGCAGTATGTTCAGCATCACTAAGTCAAAAAAGAAATAAATATTAAATGTAAATTTGACTTTCAGAGTGGCAAAGATTGCAACGAATACAAACTCAGGGTAAAATTTGGAAGCCTCCCATAGGAGGTTATATTAGTTTCCCAGGGCTGCAGGAACCAAGCGCCACAAGTCAGGTGGCTTAAAGTCACAGATGTGTGTTGTCTCACCATTCTGGAGATTCCGAGTCCAAGATCAAGGAATCAGCAGGGCTGCACTGCCCCTAGAACCTGGAGGGGGAAATCCTTCTGTCAGTCCTTGATGTTCTTGGCTTGTAGCTGCATCGCTTCTTCCTCTGCCTCCGTCATCGCATGATGTTTGACCAGTGTGTCTGCGTCTGAATTTTCTGCTTATAAGGGCATCAGTCATATTGGAGTAGAGTCCACCCTAATGACCTCATGTTTACTAGTTACATCTGCAAAGGCTATTTACAAATCATTTCACAATCACAGGTACTGGGTGTTAGGACTTCAACTAACTTTTTTTTTTTTTTAAGATTTTATTTAGTTATTTTTTAGAGAGAGGAGAAGAGAGGGAGAAAGAGAGGGAGAGAAACATCAATATGTGGTTGTCTTTCGCGTGCACCCTACTGGAAACTTGGCCCGCAACCCAAGCATGTGCCCTGACTGGGAATCATCAACATAACGTTTTAGGGGACATAATTCATCCTGTACTAATGGCCATAAAAGGGCATAAGTCAAGATACTAACACATAACAACAAAGGACAGGAGAAAAGGATCATTTCAGTGGTAGCAACATGGACAGAGAACTGTAGGGACCAGGCAACACATGTACTTTATGACAAGATGCTACTACATAGTTTCCAGAGAGAAGGTGAAATTCAGAAAGGAAGGAAAAGGCCGAACATCAGACTTGAAACCAAACTGAGCTGATTTCAGTGGACAAGGTTAAGCTTGCTGACAGCAACATGAAGTGGGGGCTGGAAAGTTAAATTCAATTCAAATGTGTATATGTATAAATGGGAGATAAATATTTTCAAACTGCTTGGGTAAGAAAATCCATAGTTATTTAATAGGAGCCTAATGGAAATGTAGCCTTTATAAACAGGCAGATCAGAGACCAGTACAGTCACCGTAGGTATTAAATCAAATCTTATGTAATTGCCACTATTTGACCATTTAATTAAGAAAAATGACAACTTAATACGTATTAACCCAATATACATGGAAGGAGAACTTGCTAACCTCCTTCAACAGAAACAGAGGCATTGATTTTACTGCATGTATTTGTGGGAAAGGTCAGTACATGCTAAAAAAGTCTAAACCTGCATTCCATTCTTTGGAAAGGTCTTACTCTCTCTACCTGGCTAACTAGAGCACGACAGGACTTTAGATTTGAACTTGGAGGAAAATGGAAGGGTTGTTTTGTTCATGCTCGGGCCTAAGCCTCGGGTCTGACCCAGCTTTTCCTGCAGCTTCCTGCTTGGGGCTTACACGCAGGAAGCAACGGGGAATGACGGATGCCGAGGTTCCCGTCCTTGGATCCTCATTGCTATCAAATAAATTCTCAGCTCTAACAGGCAGCTTGTAAAGCCCCCTTTACCCCAGGCTCATTCCCCATCCCTGCTGTGGCAGAGATGGTTGCTGACCAACACAGATTAGTGTTTGTTTCCCAGAACGTAGCGTTGTTCTGAGAAGTGATTCCCAGCCAGGAACCACATTGTTCAGTGCATCTAAAATGAGCGCGTGTAACTATTTCTGGCCAGTGAACTGTCACTGGGAATCACAGGTGACATCTCAGCCACAGGGACCTGATACCATGTGCTTTCTCTTTTCCTCTAATTTACTGATTAGATGTGTCCCTTGAAGCTGCATAGTAAACCACACTGAGGCCCTGAGTCTCCGTTTGGAGGAAAGTCACTCTGAGAGTCACCTGACTGAGAAATTCTGCCCTGGGCTTGGCATGAATGAGAACTCAGCTTTGTTTTTGTTGAGTCACCGTGATGTGGGGTTGTTTGTTACAGTGGCACAACCTCACCCATCCTAATCCCCCTTATACTGCCACATTCTGGGGTTTTGTTTTGGTTTTTTTGAAGATTTTATTTATTTATTTTTAGAGAGAGGGGAAGGGAGGGAGAAAGAGAGGGAGGGAACACAGATGTGAGAGAGAAACATCCATCAGTCTCTTCTCCTGCACAGCCTCACTTGGGACGGAACCTGCAATCCACGCATGTGCCCTGACCAGGAATCAAACTAGTAACCTTTTGCTTTGGGGGACGATGCCCAGCCAACTGAGCCACACCAGTCAGGGCCACTTCAGCATGCTGAATCCCCATCTGTTGCCTCAGCTTATCAAGTGGTTCCACTTGGCCTGGCCGTGCAATTTCTGCTCTTGGCCTAGAACATCTTCTTGCTTTTCTACATGAGAAACCGCTAAGATTCAGATTACGTGATGTTTATTCTGAGTCCTACTCTTTTTCCAAGCTGTTTGCTACTCCCTTTCTTACTCCTGCTGTGTCTTGTGCCAAAGACTCTGTCCAATCCCGCTGACATAGTTATCTTCCCCCCAAAATGTGAGTTTTTTAAACACAAGCACTTAATCTTATTCTTTATATTCAGAGCACCTAAAATAGTGCTCTGTATATAGTCATCTCTCAGTACATGAATATTGGCTTCGTTTAAGTGAATGGGGGTTGAGGGGGTTCTCTGATTACATCCCTTAGTCAGCTGACTGGGAGGAGGGGTATAGTTGGTCTGAACAGGATCAGAAGGCCTGTGTCGCCGTAGGTCTGCCTGGCTGAAGCTGTGCCACTCTTGAAATCGGGAAAGCACTTAAATGCACAGAGTAAAGAAGTAGGCCCTTAGAATTTGTCTTTTGCTACTTACTGAAGGTTATAGGAAAATAAAGCTTTCTCATTTTCAGAATGTGTATTTTCAATGGTTGCAGACCATGTTGAGTATGCGCTTAGCTTGAAAGACGATGGAAACCTAGATATCACTCAGAGTTCCCCAGAGACTCTTCTGAGTTCCTTCGTTTCTCCGTAAAATTAAAAAAAAAAATTTTGTTTTTGAGAGGACAATACGGGAATGAAAAAAGCAAGTCCAAATGAAATGGGAAGTGCTTTAATAGGAATGCTTTATTGTCCCTGCCTGAGTTTCTAACATAGCTTATAAAGTGAAAACACTGCTTTAATACAAATGGAATACTATTGGTCACATGAAATCCTGTCTCTCCTCTTTCCAGCCGACTGGAGGAGGGGTCCCTCATTCTCTGGGGTTGCTGACGAGGGCCGTGGTGGAGTAAGAGTAGGGGCTGAGCAGAGCAGCAATGGTGTAGTGGCGCGGGCCGGAGTCATTCGCTGTGAACACCACCTACGAGAGAACACAGACAGGATCCGTTTCCAACAGAGCCCGGCAGCGTGAGTCACAGACAGGGAGACACTGGAAACCCTGTGCCAAAGGAATTATTCTTATTTTATTATTTCAGTTTTGGAGACAGAACAAAAGGCAAAAATCCAAAGCTGTCGAGCTAACCATTGGCGCTTCGTGCAGTCCTTAGAACGAAGCTCTCTACTGCTTGTAAAAGCAGGTTTTTTGTTTTTCTCGTTCATGCTGGAAATCGGGTGGCCCTCGCCCGCCTGAGGGAGAGACACAGAGGGCCTGCACGCTCTTGCCCATTTTCTTGCTTTTAGAAAAAGGAGAAGAGAATGTAAAAACTGGCATTCAATGACCTGAAGGCTTGAGAATGGTGTCTGCCAATCCCGCTGCAGGCTTAAGAGACACAGAATGTTAGGGCTGAAAGGGAGCATTCTTCCCGTGTTACAGATAAGCGAACCAGAACACTGAATTGCTCCAAGTCCACCGGGTGACAGACCTAGACTAGAAGATATGGCTCCTGTGTCCAGACCCAGAGATTTTTCTCCCATTATTCCTTTGCACTTTCCACCACAAATATCAAGTGTATTTTACATTTATAACGAGCAGTGAAATATGGAGTAAAAGCATTATAAGATTTTATTTACAATATAAGCAGAGTGTGGAAGGTCCTGTTGGAATTCTGAAGTATACACACATGTTAGAGCTCCTTTAAGCTTTCTAACTGGGCAAATTGTTGATCAAAGTTTGTTCCGGTGAGTCATGTGCTTCAGGCAAGCTTAATAGAGCTTCTGAGACTCAGGTGCTGGGAGAGGTAGGTGCCTGGACTGAGGCGAATAGGAAAAATGTTTGTTCAGGAGATAGAGGACAGTGAGGAGGTGTTTGATTTTATTTACTTTGGTACAGGCCCTGGACTGAGGTTTGGACACACCCTGGATAAGTACATTTTGTTCCAAATATGGAAAAGAAAACCTTGATTACTTAGGGACAGGAGAAAAAAAGATATGATTGAACCATACCAAAAACAAAAATGGCATCAGGGCAGGAGGAGGTGAGAGTCACGTAAGAATCTCTCTGAAGGAGAAAGGGAATTCCTTAAAGGCCAAGTTTCTGGAATCAAATGGGGAAAACTTATCCCTTAGAGTGACATTGGCTTCCATTCCCATCTAATTCTTTCTAAAAATTGTAAATGGCATAATGCGTGCTCCGAATTCCATGAAATGAAGAGGACTAATAGCTCCAAAGGCAATTCCTAACCTCCTTCATAAGTCTAATATGGCCAGCTGGGTCATGGGTCTAGGAGGAGGTCCTTCATGAGGCTGAAGGACTGCAATGTTCTGGGAGGTCCTTATCGGAAGAAGCGGTCAGAACAGGAACTCATGGCTGAACCCAGCGTGCACCCGCCAGCCACGGAAGTGCGGCGGCGGGGCTCATGCTTGCCTACTTGACCTCTCTCACTCCCCACAATCATTCAGAACCCAAGGTGGCTCATGGTCCTGCCTGATATGCCCTAAAGGCAGAGATGTGTTCTCACTTTTGAATATCTAGCAGAACGCTCAACAGATAGCTTTTTATTTTTAAACATTTGTTGAATGAACACTGAAAGAGCGAAGAGCAGTTTAATGAATAGGAGCAATGTCTGGGCAGTATGGAGTCTTCTCAGATTGTCTCATCAGGCTGAGCTCCAGGGCAGACAAAGGTTGTAGGCTGTCTGATCAGGGGCTCAGCCTCGAGGGGCACGTGTCTTGTGGTGGGTGCCATCTAAACCCTGTGCCCGACCATGGGCAGGCCCTGCGACTTGCTGCCTGGCTGACAAGGAGCCAGAGACATGCTGCTTGGTAGATGGGGCTACCTTGGTGACTTGTGGCCCCTGCAGTTTCCCCGACTACACTCTCTACTAAGAACCGTTTTATGCTTTTGAAGGTCTGATCCATGACTAAGCCAGAGAGAATGGTTCTCTTTTATATTGAGCTATTTTTGATGCAATTAGTTGATCTTTAACTCTGAACAACATGTCTGTATTCTATTTCCATGACAGCCATCTGTTTTAAATGACTTAAGAAATTGCAGACAAGGAGGAAGCAGGGAGATTGGGCCCATGTATAACTTTGAGGTTCTTAGTAACTCATAAATAAAGGAAGAGAGTGTGCACAAAGGGTTAGAAATACAGTATTATTATTATTATTATTATTATTATTATTATTATTTGGTTGGCTTCGTATAGGAAGAAAGCCAAGGCATACATGAGACTATATCCAGAGTGGGCCCTGTTGGTAAATATTGCTGTCTATTCTCCTAGGGTAAATATTACAAGCCCTGCACTTTGACAAGTTAATTAACTTTCCTGAGCCTCATTTTCTTCATCTGTACAAAGGGCATAAAAATAAGACCAACTCCAATGAGTTGTTTACAAAGATTAAATAGGTTAAATATAGAAAATACAGCAGTGCCAAGCATATGATATATGCTTGATGAATGTTATCTATTGTGTTGCCATTGTTACTATGAACCCACTGTCTCTATTCGCATTGCTCCAAAACACTTATCCAAACCTCTGGGTTCCAGATGTATTTGGAACAAAGAATTTTTCAGATTTTAGAGAAGTAAAATAATACATCTATCTTTTCTTACGTAACATCCTAAGTGGGCCTGGATGCCTGCCTAATAATTCAACACATTCATAGTTCTTCAGCAAAAGAACAGTAGAATGAATGAAGACTGTAGAGGCATCGTGTAGGTTGAGGTCATGTAACTAAATGAGTTTTCACCAAACTTAGTGAGAAAGTTTGCTTTTCAGAGTTTTGTGGATTTCTGATTATAGAAATGAGAAAGAGAATTGTGCTAGAACTGTGCTAGTTCAATGACATTTTTTACGGTATGCATTTCCATGGTGTGCAAAGTGCAAAATGTGCTTTTCCCGAGATTAAAAACAACAATCAAAAAATTAAAATAAAAACCAGCTTCAAGGTCTATGTACTCACCTCTGCAGATTCGTGGAACGGGGAAATGCCAAGTGCCTTCCAGTAGGATTTGGTGTCTAATTCCACTTTGTATATCCCTTCTACAAACTTTTCACTGGTCGTGAGCCCGTGGAGTTCTCCAAATTCACTGGTTTTCCTAAAAGATGCACAAGTACAGGTTAAGTTAGGCATTAAGGGTAAGTTCACACACACACACACACACACACACACACGAGCCATTTGTGTATGTGAATATATATTTTCTTAACCAGGTCAGGAGAGAGAAAATTCTACTAAATGTCTGAAATTAACTGACAGGGAATTTGTCAGGAATGTTTCAAAAAGCTATTGAAGGTATTTTTCTCTCAGGAGAACAAGATAGAGGTATAATGTTGCACTTCAAAAAAGAGTCACCACGATTCAGGGTTGGTGTGTGGGTGAAGCTTTGTAACACCCCCGGAAAGCGTCCCTAAGTCACTCAAACTCCCATTCCCCATAACACCAGTGTCTCACTGGTGATGTGAAGGCACCTTTCAGAGGTGGTATCACAGCCTCTGTTCAATGGAGGACGCCATTGGGGAACGCCAAAGTTCAATGAGAAACCCGTATCCGACTCTTCCATTTTTTATATATCTAATTTCTCTGGTAACTCTTTGCCAATAACAAATATTAGGCAACCCCTTTTTAAGTTTTCTTTTTTTAAATTAGGCAATTTCTATTTCTAAATAAGTACAAGCTCAAAAGGTGTTGTCTGAAATGGCTCTCCATCAGATTGCAAAAACTAAGATTAAAAATGGGAATTGTCTTTATTGACTCTGACCTTTGACCTTTCTTTTTTCCCAAGACATAAATACTGAATTTCCTTTTTTTGTCTTCTCATAAAAAAAAAGACCCACACAGACATCTGAATATTTTTGGTGTCCATTCCATCTCTTACTTAGAATAGTCTCTTAACTACTTTCCACATTGTGCTTGGCATTTTTATCAATGTAAATGAATTAAGAAACAAAAACTCAGTTGGAACCACACCAAACAAAATTGTCTTCCCAATGATGGGTGAAGAAGCATAATGTTGTCCTTGGGGTTTAATTAAAACCCACAGAAACACTCCTCCCAGGAGGCAGAAAGACTTAGCAGTATTACTTTCTGCTGAGGGTTCCTTTCTTTCAATTAGTTGGTTTAGGATCACTAACTAATTGGCATTTTCTTTGAAATTTGTGCCAGTGGAGGTGTAAACACTCCCTAAAGTTGTTGCTGAAGGTGAGAAGTCATTTTTACCCCTGACAGTTGGTGATCCCAAGACTGGTCTATGGTTGTGCTGTGTGTTACGTGTCTTTCTCTTCTGTGTCCTTTCTTATTCAGCGGGACAGCCCCCAGCCTTGCAGAGTAGGTGTTCCACAAGGGTTTGCCAGAAGAAGGCCCTGGATGCTGGATGATCCAGATAAACTATACACAGATGCCTGGTCAATGCTGCCTCTCAACTCTTTATTAACAAACGACCACAAATTGTATGTCTTCCCTAAAATTGGAAGACAAGGACTCAGCTTGAGTGTTATGCCAGGGCACCAAAAAAAAAAAAAAAACCTTCTGAAATTCCATTTGCATTTTTATATGTGTGAGTATATGTGTATTTTTCTGGGCATGAAGTCCTTAGTTTTCATCACCTTCTTAAGGTGGTCTGTGACCCAAGAAGGTGGTGACCCACTGCTAGAGTAGAGGATGTGCTGGCTTCTTTCCCCGCCGTCTGCCTGCGTAAAAGCTGTTCAGGTCACTCTCAGCTATGCAAACAAGAGGAGGGCATCCTTCTCAGGGCTCACTTGACCTTTGGCCAAATTCTCAATCTATTTGTAGATTCTTAAGTGAATGACGTGAGCCCCCTCTTCAACATGTGGCAGGCAAATGAGAAGATAAAACAAAGACCCACGTCTGGGTTTGCTGGGCAGCTTACCCAGAGGCGAACAGCTCCCAGGTCTCGTCAGCAGTCTTTCTGAACACTTTCACGGCCACGTTGACAGCAGGGCTGCCTCGGACGGCATCTAGGACCTTGACCATCAGAGGACATTTGGATTCACCAGTGCCCTGGGCATGGAGAGGACAAGTTAGAAGTCAACAAATCTGGTCAGAATGAAAGGATTCATTCTTCATGGTGTTAGAAATCTGGAGCTCGGCAGGGAGTACATGCTAATCCCATTACCAGCAGCGTAAGTGTTGGCAGTTAATGAGCTTCCCTTACTCAGTATAACACAGACAGGATTGTTTCCAAAGCAAGAATGGTTTCTGCCTCCAGGCACACTGCAATCAACTTGGGGCATGAATAATAAATGTAAGGGGGAGAAAATAGGTCTTCTGAGAACAGTTGCTTTGTTAATCCTCACCATTTGAGTGGAATTACTGAAAAGATGTAATGTGCCATCAAACCAAGTAGTTTTTCCTGAGAGTATTTTAGTCAGTTGTTGCTCTAGTAAATCCCTCTTACTAGTTGTAAATTAATGCTGGTTACTTCAGGACCCATTTTATAACATTAGGTAATTCTTCTAGAGCACTTAAGAATTATATAACTGCCTAGAATGTTGTCTGCCAAGTCTTTCAAAGATTAATCAATAAATACATTTTGACTAACAAAAGGGAAATAAACTTTATAAGAGGATGTGTTTCTAAAAATTCAATATTAACAGCTTCACAAATACTCTGTCTTTATGTCTACCATCTACCTGGGGAAATTGAGGCACGAGGCATTGCAACCCAGAAGAACCAGAGCAATACAGGAGAACACCCAGAATCCAAGCTCCTGCTTCGTGAGCTCTGCAGAACTTCACCCTTTTTGAAGTTTGAATCAATAATGCTTAAAAATAGATGCTGGGTACCCTTGCCCTAGTAACAGAAACTGACTGGCCAAACTGGAAGAAGTCACTTCTACTTCATTTAGTGTCCATAGGAAGTGGGTGAAAGGGACTTCACAGACTCAAACACTCACCGCGGGGCCGGCCTCAGACACAAATACCAGTCCAGCGAGGCAGAGGAGCAGCAGGTGATGAGAGGCCATCCTGCCAAGAACCAGTGGACGTCTATGACGGACACTCCAAACTTGGGGCTTTTATACTCACTTCTCCCGAGCCAGGCTGCTGATCCCTGCCAACCTGACTTGAAACCTGCTGATTCTGATTATTGACTTAGTCAACAAAAGGAGAATAAGTAACCCACTCAAATATGAACCTTGCCTAGAGAGATTAGAGCATAGGAACATTAGCACTATGAAATATTCTTAACAGGTCATTTGACCAGCTGGATGACCAAACACAAAATAATCAAAAGAAAGCAAAAATATTCTGCACCCTCCTTGGCTGAATACTGTGACGTTCTTGGGATTATTTTTCTCCTTTGCCTATTTCTATGCAGGTTTTCCATTTTCTATACATTTCATCTTTCATTTTAGATGATGGGTACAAGTTGTAATAATTTATTTCACATTGAATAATATTTGGCTGCACAGATTTAAATACAGTGCATTAGAATACATCCTTGCACTTGGTATATATCCACAAGTCAGCAAGAAAAAGCTCTTGTCATTGCTTACATTTTAAAAAGTCTATGGATGAGCCAGAGTAAGTTGTTTGGAAGCTTTTTCAGTCAGCAATTTCTCCACAATTCTGTTGTTCTTCCCAGACAAGGTTCATGTCAACCCACAGAATAATGACACAATTCCAACTGGCATTGACGAGCCTGACATATGGAGAACCAAATATTCTTTATAGCTTCTCCTGCACTGAACGTGCAGAAGCAAGGTCACCCAGTTGGCTTCTGTCAAAATCAAAATTTCTGGCAGGAAGTAGAGATGACAGTGAGAAGTAGAAGCCACAGTTGACAACAGATTCTCTTCCTCCTGGCCAACTTAAAAGTCCGGAAGTATAATGATTATATGATGCATTTGTGTATGTGTGTATATGCACACACATATGTGGCTTTGCTCATGGAGTCATTTTGGCAGGTTTTGACCTTACAGAGACAAATATGCAGAAGACATAAAGAAGGCAGACCAAAATTTTGGACAAGTACATGTTAAGGGTGAGTCCAATTTGGAGCACGGGGAGTGAGAGGACCATTTCTATAGCCAATAGAGTCAAGTTAAATAAACTCACCCAGAGATCATGAAGGGAAGAGAGTGGGGAAGGGCCAGAAGGGCGCTCAGGAATGTGGAGATGTGCAGGGGAAGGCTTGGGGCGCGCCGGTTGACTGCAGGAAAGCAGCAATCGGCAAGGGCAGTTTTGAACGTAGCCGGGCCTGCAGTCTCACAGCCTTAGAGCATGAAGTAACACTGGAAAGCGTTCAGAATTTGGAGTTAGATGACCCGAGTCATCCAGTTCCTAGCTCTGCTGCCCAGTTTCCCAGACGACCTTGTCTGAGTTATTTAATAATCAGATACTCAGCTTATTCACTTGTAAAATAGAAACACCTAACGTTTCTATGTAAAGAACTGTTCTAATAGCTTTTAGTATGATTTGACAGAAAAACTCTTTGTAAAGTATAAACTACTTTTCTGGTGTATGGTATACGGTAATCACAATTTGGTTCAACATCTCTGCGGAGGAGGAAGTCCTTTCTCTAACATCCCTCATATATTGTCTTCTAATAGTCCCTTGTCTGTTTCCCATTGCTCAGGACTTGGATGGAAACCCTATTTTCTGTATGAATTCCAAACATTTGCAAATTCTCTCATATCTCAAGCAAATCTTCCATGCATGCATCATACTGTTACATTCTGCTGACACCTAGAAATGTAGACATTATGAACGGGCAACCCTGGGCTGCCACCTGTCCACAGATATGTTACGTTCGGTCTGTGAAATGTTTCTTTAAAATGTTTGAAATAGTTATTACAATTAAAAATTGAGACACATTGCATACAATTTTGGATTTTGGCTTCCCTTGAGAAATCAGAAGAGATGGCAGAGCGAGGCCCCCACTCACACATGACGATGATCAGTGGACTCTCACTCTCAGGCATGACATCTCAGCCTTGCCTCCAGCTCTGAGGCCGGAGAACATGTCCACTGGCACCATCAGGTTTGAGGTTTTTGGGTTTTTTTTTTTAACCTTAATGTCCTGTTTCTCTCATCACTGTTATGCCTGGCTTCTTGGAAATTTGAGTTTGCAATTGCTCTTCTTCTTACAGTCATTTAAGCAGTGAATGACAGCTTATGATCATTTGTTTTTCTTGCCAAATAAACATTCTCACTTCTTTGAACAATTCTTCTTCTTCTTCTTCTTCTTTTTTTTTTTAAATTTATCCACTCACCATCATTCCCAGTCCTAAAATTTGCTGGGTTGTGAATTCCAGAGAGCAATCATTTATTCATTTATTTATCCTTTAAAAATGTAATTAAAAAATATTCCTATTCCCCCACATCCATTCCCTCTAGCAACCGTTAGCTTATTCCCTGTATCTATGTGTTCGTTTCTATTTTGTTTTGTTTATTCTTTTGGTTTTTTTTAATTCCACAAATAAATCAAATCATGCAGCCTTTAAATGATTCCTCTTCAGATATAGTTCCTGAAATCCTTACCACCCAGAACTTTCTCCTCATATATACCCACTGGTCAATATTTCTCTTCAAATGGGATGTTCTGCGTGGGACACGTTCTCCAGATGGGATCAGGCCAGCACACAGGGCATTGAGACATCCCTTGGCACAGGGACACTACTGCCAGTGAGGCACTACCCCCTGCTCGATCATAACTCTGCCTTCTGTGACCTTGGTCGCAATGCTGTAAAATCACCATATTATCAATCATCCTGTGGTTTTATCATTTTAAATATTACTTTATTTTTCAGCTTGATTGGGGTACAGTTGACAAATAAGAATGTAAGATTTGATATGTGCATACAGTGTGAAAGGATTGCCAACATCTAGTTAATAGACACATCCAGCACCTCACATATTTATCTCTGTGTGCTTGAGAATATTTAAGCTCTACTCTCTTAGCAAATTTCAATTATATAATGTAGTTTTATCAACTATAGTCACGTTTTACATTAGATCTTGAGACTTTATTCATCTTATAGCTGAAAGTTTGTGCCCATTTATCAATGTCTTCCTATTTCTCCTACTCCCCAGTTCCTGGCAACCACTTTTCAACTTTCTGTTTCTATGAGTTTTTCTTGTATTTTCTTTTAAAGATTCCATATATAAGTGATACCATATAATATTTATTTTTGTCTTGGCATAATGCCCTCAAGGTCCATCCATGTTGTCACAACTAACAGGATTTCTTTCTTATGGCTCAGTAACATTCCACTCTATATAATATTACACACACACACACACACACATACACATATATAAATATATATATAATGTCTTAGTCATCCATTCATTTGTTGTTGGATACACAGATTTCCCCCCCGTATCTTGGATACTGTAAATAATGCTGCAATGAACATGGGAGTGCAGCTATCTCCTCAATATCCTGCTTTAATTTCCTATGGGCAAATACCCAGAAGAAGAGGGATTGCTGTATCACATGGTAGTTCTGGTTTTAATTTTTTGAAAAATCTTCATACTGTTTTCCATGATAATCTGCACCAATGGACATTCCCTCCAACAATGCAGGAAGGTTCCGTTCTCTCCACATCCTCTCCAATGCTTATTTCTTCTCTTTTTAACAATAGCCATTTGAACAAGTATGAGGTGATATCTCACTGTTTATTCCACATTGATGAACTTTTGTCTAAATACAGGAAACTTTGTTTATGCCTGATGCTCTCAGCCTGTTAGTTCCACCTCACCACTCACTCCTATTGACATCAGTTAATAGTTAATTCTGTAATTGACTTCATTAGCACGCCTTCCAAGCCTCATGCGTTGGCTGCCTTGACTTGTTTGCCTTTGGATCTGTCATCGATCTGGAAATCATGAATAAAATTTGAATTTGAACAAGACAGGAAGGTGAAGGTGACAGTGAGGCAATTCGGAGTATGGGGGGAATACTGAAGCCGATTGTTGAATCACTTACAAATTTACGGAGGTAGAGATGCTTTTTCACCTAGAGAAAATTTTGGCAGAGTAAAGGGAGGAGAGTTCTAGGAGAAGAAGCTGACAGTGTTTTAGGAGAGAGAAGAGGAGGGCTCATGGAGAAAGGACAAAGCAGAAACAAGAATTCTTGGTCGAAGGAATGTGTGAATGGAACAAGTGGCAATTGCAAATACAAGAAAAGTCTGGTGTATCCTGCCTGAGAGGCAATTTGTGATAAGAGAAGGTTATGTGGATAAACATAGACTCCCAAAGATAAGGGGTTCACCTTCTTGTGTTTATTTGCGTATGTGAAAACTCTTTTAGATAGATGGCTGTTTGGGATCTGCCAATGAAGGTTAAGGGTCACTGCATTCCTGGAGACCTAAGTGGTTGCTATAGGGACTGTTCTAGAGTGAATATCAGCAGCAGTGCGGACCCAGTGCCAGAAAACAAAAGTGGCACCGGTGAAACATTTACGCAATAAATTTACACCTTTTCTTAGCCACATACTTTCTTTATATTTTGACCCTTGAAACTATAGCCTAGGTGTTTAATTAAAGGAAAAAAGACTAATTTGATAACGACGTTCCTCCTCCTCCTACTACAGAATATGCAGGGATTAATGAGTGACTCAGGCCTGTTCTTAGTTTAAGGTCCTACCCTCTCCCTTATAATGGATAGGCTTATTTATTAATTTGTAAAATATCATAGATAAAGTATTTTTCATTTATTTTCTGAAGGTGTGTACCAACTGTTAGCCAGTGACATGTTTACCTTGAAATGTCCACCAAAATTATTTTGAGTAAGCTGATTAGCCAGAGTGCAGAGTTGGCTGATCAAGTACTGGACCAGGGTCTCCTGGGGGTTGGCACCTTAGACCTTTCTAGGTTAAAGAATTTAATTTTGTTAGCTCCCCCTCAGAGTTAAAAAGCCCTGGAGAGTTGATTAATGGTAAGCAAATCATAAAAGACTCATTTTAAAACCATAATACCTATTTAATTAAGAGTCAGATGGTTGTTGAGTAAGCAAGAAATTAGAGCAAAAGAACTTGGCTAATTTTTTGAGATTTTACTTGGCTG